CTGTCACTTAGTTTCTTGTTTTTCTTTTTGTTTTGTTTTGTTTTTCCCCAAAGAGTTACATGTACTTTGTTCTTCTGATACTTTGTAGACATTTCTGTATCAGTTTTCAATCATTCTTCTCTCTAGAGGTTATCTCTTCATAGCTTGGAGACATCTCAGCTTGGAGGAATCATTTCTACCTTATCTTTTGCCTCACTTAGAAGCCTAAGAGGACTTGCTCAAGTTAACCTCAAAGACATACTTTGGGGTTAATCTTTACCTCATATCAGCATGCAGTCATTTGTCTTAGCACTACCCACCATCCTCAGCACTGCAGTTCATTAGTTAAAAGTATTTGTTTTATATTTGTCTTCTGTTAGAGCAAGTGTTTACTGCTGTATCCCCTACTTCTAGACACTTGCTGGTCGATTGCCAGAAAGAAGCCCCTTGTAGGATCAGGTTGTGGCACACCTGTAGCCTGAAGCAAATGGGTGGTAAAGCTGGAGAAATAAAGGGGAACTAGATCTCAGGGGGGGCTTGAACTCATGTGAGGAAACTTGTGCTGCATCCCAAGAAGAGTAAGAAGATCATCACAGGTTAACCAACCTTGGGCAAACAACTCCCTGGTAGACTTTATCTCTCCATATTAAAAAATTAAATCTACCTTTATAGAAAATATGTGGTATTTGAAAAGCAAAGTAACATTGTACATATTATTTGTGGTTGCATATCCAGTAAATTTCTAAAGACATTTCCAGAGTACTTTTTATACTTTGTAAAAAAATCATTTATTTACTTAAAGGATAATTATGAATGTATAAATAGTTGGAAAAATTAGAATATTTACATCTTTTTGCAGCACCAAATATATTGAATTTGGAGATCATGGTAAAAAACATAGGTTTCAAATTTTAAAAATACTGGTAGATGTCTAGTATCCTCTCAGTGCTTTGCTGTTACTTACCTATAAAGAAGCAGATTAGAGAATTATTTTCCTCTATGTTTAATAAGAATGTTATAAAAGCAGGTATCTTTTGTATTTTAAGTTGTGTTTTTGAAAAAAATTTAAATGAAAATCATTTCATATTCTATTGAACCAAAGAATGTAAAGTGCCATCCAGGTAATATAAAATACTGAACACGTTTTGTTTTTGTTTTTTGTGGTACTGAGGATTGCACCAAGGACTTTGCACATGCTAGGCAAACACTACCACTGAGAGCTATCTGCCCCCTCCTGGCATTTCAACAGAGTCTCACTAAATTGCCCAGGCTAGCCGAAAACTTGTGATCCTCCTCCCTCAGCCTCCTAAGTAAGTAGCTGGGATTAGAGGCACACACCGCCATGCCTGGCTAATTTGCATTACAGATGCTTATCGCATCTGTGGAAAACTTACAGAATTGTAAATTGCATTAATTCTGGGTTTTGTGTTTGTTTGCTTGTTTGTTTAGACAAGGTCTCCCTAAGTAGTTCAGGCTGGCTTTGAGCTCACTCTGTACCCCAGGCTGGCCTCCAACCAAGTGATCCTTGTGTCTCAGCCTCCCAAGTGCTGGGATTATAGGCGTGTACCACCACGCCCAGCCCTGCATTAATTCTGATCTCTGCCTTCCTGTTTTTTCACATTAACTCTACCTTTTAGAAAACTGCATTCTTGGGGCCAGGGATTTAGCTCAGTGGTTTCACTGCCTGCTGTGCAAGCGCAAGGACCAGAGTTCGATCCCCAGTACCAAAAAAAAAAAGAAAACTGCATTCTTTTTTTGGATTCATTAAGTAGGCAGTTTTCATGTGCATTGAGAACCTGAGTGCATCATGTTATAGAGAGCAAGGGGTCTGTGGTGGCTCGAGCGATTAGGAATTTCAATTTAGAGAGCTGAACAGAACAGGAAATCAGCAAGATGAAGCTGTCTGCGGCCCCAAGACATCCGTCCACCCTCAGCGTCCTGAGAGAGATGAGCGATCATCCAGAAATTGAGAGAAATTGCTAGAAAAAATGACAAGCTTCTGTCATTACTGAAAGATGTATATGTTGATTCCAAAAATCCTGTATCACCTCTGAGGGTAAAAGATTCTGAAACAGGGCAAGAAACAAAGGAATCCAGATTGCCAAAGGGCCATCACTTTGGTATGGATATTAAGAACATTCCCAAGGGCAAGATTTCCATTGTAGAGGCCTTGACACTTCTCAATAATCATAAACTTTATCCAGAAACATGGACTGCTGAGAAAATAGTACAAGAATACCATTTAAAACTGAAAGATGTAAATTCGCTTCTCAAGTATTTTGCTTTTAAAGTCAAGATCTTTCCTCCTGAAAACAAGAAAGCAATAGAATCAAAGTGAAGAAAATCACGAAATTACTTTTCTTATGTGTACTTCTCATCCCCTTGCTTGCTTATTTCCTCAATTTTAGCATATTAAATTACAGAAATTTTTTTTTTAAAAAGGCAGTTTTCTTATATGGTTCTCAGTTTCTGTGCTGTAACTGTTGTATCCCACCAGTTCCTTTTGGGCATATTTTCCTTCTTACTATAATAAAATAAATCCTTGAGTAGTTCTCTCAATGAATAATAAACTTTTGTGTCCAGAAATATTTTCACTCTTTATTCTTTCAATTAAGCTCATTTAGGCAGGCAGTTTTACACTTTTATATTCTAACACCCCGCTGATGAGAAACATAAAAGTACAGTGGTATCTCTTCTGTCTTTAAAAATAGTGGCTTTACTTTTGCACAGCAAGAGAAACCACCAACAGAGTGAAGAGATGACCCACAGCATGGGAAAATTTTTTTTTACCAGCTATTCAGTTAAAGGACTATTATCTAGAATCTATAAAGAACTTTAAAAAAATCAGACCCCCAAATTTAAAGTCCCAATCCAAAAATGGACATCTGAAATGAATACACAATTCTGAGATGAAAAAGTACAAATGGCAAATATATCAAAAAATGTTCAACATCACTGGTCATTCAAGAGATGAATATTAAAACAATGCTGAGATCCCATCTCAGTCGAGAAGGAATAGCTATTATCAAGAAATCAACCAGTAACAAATGCTGGCAGGGCTGTGGGTAAAAGGAACCCTTCTCCACTGTTGTTGGGAGTACAGACTAGTGCAACCACTGTGGAAATCAGTATAGAGATTCCTCAAAAAACTAAAACTAGGGCCAGGGATTTAGCTCAGTGGTTCCAGTGCCTGCCTTGCAAGTGCAAGGTCCCGAGTTCAATCCCTGGTACCAATAAAAGTCCTCTGTGTTGAGCTGATAGTAAAGAGCTTTTAAAATTAAAATAATTCCAAAATTTAAAAAAAAAAAAAAAAGTGGCTTTAGAAAGCTGCACCTTTTCCCCTTAAAACATTTTTTTAGATTTATTGTGCTGAAACACCAAATGAATTAATCTAATTTTTAAAGTAAGAAGTAGGTGATTATGTCATGTTACATTTAGCAACCAAAAAAAAATCCTAAAATCACTACTTAAAGATATATGTACTGGCCAAGTATTATATTTTGAAATTGCTATACATATGTCATATATTTATGTTATGACTCTTTTTCAAAAGTCAGTATTTTCAGTTATATTTTAATTCAAAGTCCTACAATAGTTCTCGACCAGTCCTGTCCAGTAAAAGTTCCTGTGATCTGCACTGTTCGGTAAGGTAGCCATTAGTCCCTAGACTAGCGGTGGCAAACCTATGGAACACGTGTTGTTGTGTTTTTCTTTTAAGACAAAAGATGTTAATGTATGAGTTGTTTTTTCTAAACTAAAACCTCAATATTCAAGTTTAATGACAGTGTTAGCACTTTGCAATAAGTAAGTGGGTTTGGGGTTGGAGTTTGGTGCTTGATCTCTGAGAGGTTCACCATCACTGCACTAGACCTTGAATGCTGGCTCTCTTTGTTTACCTTTATATCTTATCAAGTGAGTAGAAGTTTTGAATTAGACTCATATAGTTTAAGATAATTCATTTTTACCAGCAGATATTTTTTCAGAAATGTAAAGATGATTAGCTTTTGGTTTGCCTATACAGTATAGGATTAGAAGTAAAGTTGTAGAGCTTGTATGTTTATCTTATGATGCTAGTTTTTACATTATATATATATATATATATATATATATATATTCAAAGTGTTTTTGTGAAGTATTGTTACCAACTGGCTGAGAGTCCTTTTGCTCAATTTGGACAGAAATGACAAATAGGCAAAATTCAGCTCCCTTTATGTTAGCAGCCCTGAGCCTTAAGTCTGTAGGGCTCTCTGTTCTTGGTGTTAGCAGCTCCTTCCACTGCTCTCTTAGCAGCCAGAGCCAGATGCTACCAGGAGTCTCTGGAACTCTTCCAAAAGCAGGAGCCACCAGCTATCAGCATTTCTCCATAGCTCCACACCACTCTCTGGCTGCTACCTGCCCACTGTTTTGCCAGCCCCAGCTACTAGCCTCCTAGTGCAACCAGCTCAACCTATTCTACTTGATATAGAGATCACTAATATGCAAAATAAAACCCCTGTGATTTATGTTGCAGCATACGAAAAAGCAGTACATAAGCTCATCTGATAAAGTTGAAGGGAAGGCTACTTAAGTAGAATTTTTTAGAAATAAAGGCTCATATATGCACATGGTGTCTTAGCAGCTAACAAGATGTCTGGAGGGGAGTGGCTTTCAGTAAGGGAGGGGCTCCTCACTGACCTGAGTGGTACTATCTAACTCAGAGTCATGTGGAAGACCTGCAACCAAACCTCACTGTAGCCAAAGCAAAAGTCTCTCAGGAGACATCTGGTGTAGATTCAACGGGCTTGAACACATTTAGGGCAGCCAGGACTACCAAAGATGGAATAAAAAAAAAAAAAGAAGTACTTCTCAAGGGGTATGTTGGGCCTTTCTCTTCTATCTCAGTGGTATGTTAAAGCTAGTATAATACTTTGAGGTTTCCTGTTTATACATTAACTGGTATTTATTAAGAATTATAGAAATAACCCTTCAAGTTTCACTCTGTGCAACAAGTAAATGTATTAATAATATCTTCTATTTTTCAGATTGCAAATTGAAGAATCTTCCAAACCTGTAAGGCTATCGCAGCAACTAGACAAAGTTGTAACAACCAATTACAAACCTGTTGCTAATCATCAATACAATGTGAGTCTTCTGTGTATCTCTCATCATTCAATGTTATACCTTTATTCCTTTCTTTATCATAGATTCTTAACATTTTGAAAGGACCTCATCAGTCACGTACCTTGCATCTGGTGCTTAAATACCTAATCTAGATTTAGTAAGGAATATCATTATTTGCCAAGCATAGAGATGATGCTTGCCCTACATTGTAAACTATACAGTAAGAAGGCAACCACTGTTCAAATGGCTCTTGATACATTTTTACAAAGAAATGGAACACTTCAATTCTCAGTGTTTCTAATGTTTTAAATTACACTATACTAAGTAATTAGTTTTATCATTTTTTAGTTTTCTGTACCTTTAAACTGACCATAAGAATTTTTGATATATTGACAAATTTTATAGGTCATACATTTAAAATGTACAATTATTATTTAAAATTTTTAAAGATCATGGAACAATTGTGATTTTTTTCATTGGTAAGTATAGCCACTTTGCCTAGTTTCAGCTTCCACAGGTATTTTTTATAGTCTCTTACTCTGTGCAAAATGAGAACTACCTGTATACATTTTTAAAATCTTTTTATTGAAGTATATTTTATATATAATATACACATACATTGTCTCCATATTATTGAAGAAATTAGCAGCCATCCCCACCACCACCACCAGGGATGGAACTCAGGACCTTGCGCTTGCAAGGCAAGTGCAACACCCCTGAGCTAAATCTCTAGCCCCTATCTCTATATTAATGTGTTGTCTTAGTTACTTTCTCTTTGCTGGATACAGTACCTACAACTTAAAGGAGAAAAGATTTATTTTGACATGCAGTTACAGCCCATGGTCAAAGGCTGAAATGGCATGGCACAGGGGCATAGTGGAGGAAAAGCTGCTCATGTCATGGTGGCCAGGAAGCACAGAAAAAGAAGGAGCCAAGAAGGAAGATACCCTTCTACGTCACACTTTCAGTAACCAGCCTCCACCCAGGCCCTGCCTCCTAACGGCAAGTCAGCTAGCTATAGCACCACTATAATCCAGTCACCTTCCAAAACTCATGAATGCATGAGTGTTTTGGGGCATCATTCTTGATCTAAACCATAGCATATGTACTTATGCGTTTATGTGCCAGTTACTGTTCTGAGTGCTGCGTTAATAGTGAGATGTCATGCTCATGAAATAATGCCCACCATCATTTCCATTTTACACATCAGTCTCAGAGATTAGCTTACCTGAAATGTTAACTCACATAGTAAGTAATTAACTGGTCCAGAACTCAGTCCAGGCAAGTCTCACTTAGAAGCCACATACTTAATGACTGTGTGTGTTGCCACAGTATACTAACAATGTTAAAAAGCTAAGAATTTTAGGTTTTAAAATACCTGAATGTAAGAATAAATGTGATAATTTCCTAAATATAAAATGAACCTTAAGTAACAACCCATATCCTACTTTGTTGCTTAAGAATAATTTTGATACTGAGTTTAGAAAGAATTAAAACATCGTTAAGACTGGCATTAAGTATCCAGACTTATTGAATAGCACAGAACAGTATCTGCCAAACCACCATGGTATGGTATTTGAGTTTCATATGGTTATTTTGTGTGAAAGATACCAAGTGCCCCAGAACTGAGGACTGTGTGAAGTGGAACACATCTGCCCCTTCTAAAGACGTTCACGTTTAAAAATTAAAGCACACACACACATACACACCTATGTTTGGAGTGTTAGTAGTCATGACAGCACCCTACAGTGATTGCCTACAATTTCTTTTCTCTCAGCCACAAATACCTGCTTTGTGCCTGAGGTACAGGCCCCTGGTGAACCAAACCAATAAAATCTGTCTTCAAGGAGCTACCACTTCTTTCATTTCTGTTTATGCATTTTTAGATCCCCAGATGGATACAACATATATTTCCTTTGAAGTAGTGGGTATACATTTCTAAACTCTACTATATTTCTATACTATCTTCATTTTTCCTTAGTTCTGCTACAAAGGTCACTTGCTATACTGTTACAGACCATCATTTCTGAGGCAAAAGACAAATCTCTGTCAGGTAGATCAGTGCTGGCACTTTGGTAGCATCACAGCTTGGACTTCTGCCTAGGTCATATTCTTAGTGCCATTGACGCTCTCCTACCATCTATAGAACATGAAGTCCAAATGTCTTATATTTAGGATGTTTTTACATTGTTCTTTTTACTGTTAAAATACAGTAATACCTTAGTTCACAATGCGTCTGTTCAAGAACAATTCAGTTTTCAAGTGTTCAACAAAATTTTTGCTTCTGTTCACAAACTCCACATCAGGTGACAAACACAACCACAGCCATCTTCCCCACACAAACATAAATATGACCATCTTCCCCAAAATCATAAAACAGTTTGTGAGCCAAGATACCACTGTGTATTCAAATATATTGTATTCTGAACTCGTTAGGATATAAAGCTATAGCATCCATTTTAAAGACTTAACATTAAGTGATATTTCAGTTCAAGGAATGTAGTTTTGTTAAGATTATCATAAATGAGTCATAACAGTAATGAGTCATGTAATAATCTTTAAGATTTTGTTTACATAAAACAAAGATTGACTACCACCTATCATGTTGCACTTGAATGCTTAGTGGTTTTTTCTGTGAGAGTATCAAAATGGGTGGGGGCATCAGCATGGCTTTAAAAAATATTTAGTATTATAGTGTAACAAACTACTAAAATTATATAAAGCTTTTGTTATTTATCAGAAGGGAACATTGATTTTTTTTAATATTGAGAGACCTCATAGTTCAATGAGAATGATTTGTATATAATCAAGACTGTTGATAAAAATTTTTTAAACTCAACGTAATGTTGAAATGTTTTCAAAGTTTTGTAAGCTAGAGCTCCATAAACATAAAGCTCAGGATTTTATTTTAATAGCTGAGGTTCTTCAAATGAAATTTTCAGATAAAAATATGGGGAAATGTATACAAAAATGAAAGAGTAAAGAATTGCATGTGTACTTGTAAAACTACATTCCTACCTTTGTTGGGGGGCAGAGTTGGGGATTGAACCCAGTGCCTCATACATGCTAACACTCCACCAGCAAGCCATACCCCCAATACTACCCATATATTTAATGAGAAAGAAACCACCTTTCATTTACCTCCTCAAATTTCTTCACCCACATATAGCACATAGACAAATTTTCATGTATAAAGAGAATATCCAGATATTTAAAATCCCTAAAGTGTTACCTTGTACTTGAAGCTGTTCTAAGCACTGAATTCAAATTTATCCCTATACATAGTTCACAAACCCGGATATACTACCTACCACACTGGCCATCCAGAAGGCATTCATTGGGCAAAAAAAATTATAATAATCAGCATTATCTTTTAGAATATCCCTTCCTTGAGAGCTCACCCTGAAAACTCTCCTCTTAATAGACTAAAGCCTGTTAGTTTTCTCCCTAAGTAGCATTTCCTCTGCCTTCATTTAAGTTTCTGAAACTAGGAGTAGTTCTTGGAGGTCAGCATTTTCCAGGGTAAGTTTTGTGAAAAACTAGTTTGTCAGACTCTCCTTTAGGAGGGAAAAAAAATGTTGTCTTGAAAGAGATCCTATGTTAAAGGAACTTGTAGATTCTGATAATGTCACTCCCTCTCCAAAATTGGCACCATATTTTAATATATTAAAAATTGAGATAAAAGCCATCTATGAAAAACCAACAGCCAGTATCATACTAAATGGTCAAAAACTGAAATCCTTCACACTCAAATCAGGAACAAGACAAGGATGTCCACTATCACCACTCTTGTTCAATATAGTTCT